TGGCATTTTCTACAGCCGACTATGTACCGTTTGGCACAGATACAAGGGCATGCAGTCTTCAAAGGCAGCAGCTGATGACGTGAATCAAAGTTTGCTAAATCTTCATGTCCCAGCCTGAGATGCGATGGCAGGAAAGCAATGGCCATGGCTCACTGACTGGACGGTCCAATGCTTGAAGTACATGCAAGGGTCAAGTTCACAGTGTGCGATTGAGGCTCGGCTGTCTCAAATTGAGGATGCGGACAAGGGAAGGGGCTGTGACAATGGCAAGCCAAGACGATAAGTACCCATCTCACCAAGACGATAACTACCCATCTCACCGGGCAGAAAAGCCAAATTCTTTTCTGGCACAGTGGGCGAGGAAGCTGCACCAATGCCATCGCATTCACCTCCACAGGCACGCCAACATTGCCATTGTCTATTCCAGGTAACTGACATGGTTGCAGTGGCCGGTTATGTGCTGCCTTTCCACTTGACAGAATGTGTTCTTGTAGGTTGAGACCAATGCGGTCGCTACGCTTGAGTTTTTGCCTCAGATTGCTCGGGGCTAACACTGAGTTGGGTTGCTGTCATGGGCAACCAGGTAAAGGTGCTGTGCAAAGCGCGAAAGATGAGTTCGCAGCAGTTTCTTGCTTTTAGAGCCCGCTTTGAAATCTTTTCTGCACGGCCTATCCTTAGAGCAACAGCTTCTCAAGGTCGCAGTTTGCGGATGCAATGTTCAAGCTGCAGCTGGTCACCTAGTCAAGAAAGGGCACGTTTGTTTCAAAGCCACAGCTTTGACCTGAACGGGCCCTTATGCCAGCTATATGTCTTGGGGCCAAAGGCGATGGCACGGTGAGCCGGAAGCCCAAAAATGATGAAGCACTCAAATTCCACTCGTCGGATCTTATCGAAGCGTTTGCTCACACGCCGTACGCATACCAACCGCAGGTCTCAGGACTTGCATATACGTGTAGAAGCACAAGAAGAACGTGGGACAGTCAGAGCTGCTCTTCACACTTGCATTCAGCCACGTCTCTTGCCAACTTGAAAGCGTCGAAGCACACGAAATTCAATTTTGGATGCCAGGCTTGAAGTCATTGAGGACCTTGATGGATTCCAAAGAGACCTAGCTGGAGACAAACATGTAGGCGACTGATCATTTTGCCATAGGGACTCCTGCCGCCAACTCTCTCCCCTGATGCAGGAAGGGTTTCCGCTAAGCAGCATGAGGTTCTGTGAACCTGTCTGTGTGAATCTATCTACGCTTTTTTGTTCAGCGCATCATGAATTTGTCTTGCGTTGATGTCACACGAATATGGCCATTTTGTTTGACTTCCGAT